AAGAATAAGAATGAATTTACTATTAAATCCGAGGTTTCTCTTTAAAAAAAACGATTAAGGTTTGGCTGAGTGTGTAAGGTAGATAAAGAAGGGCGTAAACATGCAGAGAGAGAAGTTGGCTTGGATGTATGTTATGCATGCAAGATAAGAAGGATAGTAGCTATGGAGATTTGGGAACATGCCAGGAAAAGGAACAGACCAATATGAGCTCCCTTCTTTTGAAAAGGGGGGAAAAAAAGGTAGAAATAGATATCTGGGAGGAATACTGGAGCATCTAGAAATTTGCAGAAGTATGCAAAAATTGTGCTAAGTCTGTAAAGAAGCCTCTGAAAAATTTAAAACCTAAGGAGAATCTCATTGTATTGTGCCTGTGAGCTGGAACCAATGAAAAAGCAAACTTAGAAATAGCCAAGAATGCCTCATTAAGTGTATAAAAATGTTGGGACCTGTTTTCAGGAAGAAACCATCAGTACTCCCAAAGAAAGGTCAATACCCATTGAGGGGGAAAAGAATTATAGAAATAAACCGCTGGCTAAAAGGTTGGTGTGCACAAGAGAACTTTGGTTTCCTGGACCATGGACTGCACTTCCTACACAAAGAAGTCTTGGCAAGAGATGGGCTGCACCTCATGAAAACAGGGGAAAATGTACCCGGAAAATGAATGGCTCAACTCATCAGAAGGGTTTCAAACTAAAATTGAGGGGGGAGGGTGACCAATCTTTAGAATCTCTAGAAGACAAAACCAATCATAAACTCCAAGAAAACAGGTCAAACAACGAGGTAGGGAGTGATAAGGGGGAAAAAAATCTGAAACACCAAGTAGGAGATGATGCAGGAAACATACACATGGACAAGCATAAGAGTCTCAAATGCTTATATACAAATGCTCAAAGTTTGGGGAACAAACAGGAGGAACTAGAAGCAATAGTACACGAGGGCAGGTATGACATAGTTACCATTATAGAAACTTGGTGGGATGAAACTGTACTGATGGATGGATACAAATTATTCAAAAGAAATAGATCTACAAAAAGAGGAAGTGGAGTTTTATTATATGTAAGAGATCACTACATATCTACAGAAATATACATGATCAAAGTTAAAAAAAAATCTAGAATATATATGAGTCAATATAAAAGGAAAAAAGAGTGACATTGCCATAGTGTATACTATAGGCCAGTGATGGAGAACCTTTTAGAGATTGAGTGCCCAAACTGCAACCCAAAACCCACTTATGCATCGTCGAGTGCCGGGTGGGTGTGGCCCATTGGGTGGGTGTGGTCCATTGGGTGGGTGTGGCTGCAGTGGTAACGGCAGACTGGGTGGGACTAAAAAGTTCAATCAATTCCAACTTTGCAAGTTCTTTTTTTTTCCCGTGAGAAGTTGAAATTGATTGATTGAACCTTTTTTTTTTTTTTTGCACACGGCGGCGGAGGCCTAAAGCGAAAAGGTTTTATAAAACCCAGCTGAAGGCCTAGGACTAGAGCGATGGCACGCGTGCCCACAGAGAAGGCTCTGAGTGCCACCTCTGGCACCCGTGCCATAGGTTCGCCACCACTGCCATAGGCCATCCAACCAATCAGAAGAAATAGACAAACTTTTGCCAGTCAGTAAACAAATGTATGTAGTAATGGAATACTTTAACTACCCTGATATCAACTGGGAGACAAACTCTGCAGCAAGTGAGAGATGAAACAGATTCCTAACCAATCTAGCTGACAACTTTGTCATCCAAAAGGTAGAGGAGGTAACTAGAGGAAAAGATATACTGGACCTAATTCTTACTAATAGAGAAAAAGTGATAGAGTTGAGGTTTCTGAAACTTTGGGTGAGAGTGACAATGTCATATTGGAATTCAATATAGTACAAACACAAACAATAGAACATAATCCAAACAGTGTCTTAAACTTTAAAAGAGTTGATTTTTAACAAACTCAGAGAGAGCCTAGGAAAGATTCCATGGATGAAAATCCTAAAATCAGAAAATCAGAAAAATATGTTCATAAAATCCCAGTCCAGCACAATACCACTGAAAAATAAAAAAAAAGAAATCCAAGCAGAAACCAGCATGGTTGCACAAAGATCTCTCTGATAAACTGAAAGACAAAAAGAACAAGTACAAAAAATGGAAAGAGGGACACAGGTAGAATATCAGCAGATAGTCTGAATCTGCAAAGATGAAGTCAGGAAAGCAAAAGCTCAGCATGAATAAAGACTTGCAACAAAAGTCGGATAATAAAAAAAAAGTTTCTTTCAACATATTAATAACAAGAAAAAGTCAAGGAAACACTCAGTCCATTAAAGAGAGAAGATGGCAAGGAAGTAACAGGCAGTAAAGAGAAAGCAGAGCTGCTTAGCTCATTCTTTGTATCAATCTTCACACAAAAAGAGACTCTAGCCCAACCTAAAAAAAAAATTACTCTAAAAGACAGAGTAGAAATAAAAATTAAAATAAGCAAGAAAATGGTAAGAGAACACCTATCTGATCTTGACACATGTAAATCTTGATGGATTATATCACAGAGTTCTGTAGGAACTGGCTGCTGGTATGTGTTATTTCAGAACCATTGTACCATATCTTTCAAAAATCCTGGAGCAATAGGGAACTACCGGAGGATTGGAAAACAGCTGATGTGGTTCCAATCTTCAAAAAAGGGGAAAAAATCACCCTGGAAACTACAGACCAATCAGCCTAACATCAATACCTGGGAAGATACTGGAAAAGAAAATAAAAAAACAGATCTGCGAACATCTAGGAAAAAATAAAGATATAACTAGAAGCCAGCATGGGTTTTTTTAAAAATAGATCATGCTAAACCAATCTTATTTCATTCTTTGAGAAAGTGACTAAATTAGTAGACCAGCAAAATGCTGTGGACATAGTGTACTTAGATTTCAGTAAATCATTCGACAAAGTAGACCACAATCTACTTCTTGGTAAGCTAGAAAAATGTGAGATAGACAGCATCACACTAGATAGATTTGTAATTGGCTGACAAACCAGACTAAAATGAATAGTCCTTAATGTACTATTTCTACATAGGAAAGTAAGCAGTGGGGTATTACAAGGTTTCATCTTAGGCCCAGTACTCCTCAATATCTTCATAAATGACTTAGATGAGGGAATAAAAAGGGAACTCATCAAATTTGCAGATGACACTAAACTGGCAGGAATAGCCAACACCCCAGAAGACAAGCTCAGGATCCAAAAATATCTTGACAAACTTGAACAATGGGCCCTATTCAACAAAATGAATTTTAATGTGGAGAAAAGCAAGGTTTTATATTTAGGCAGGAAAAACCAAAAGATGAGTACAAATTAAGTGAAACCTGGCTCAGAAACAGTTACTATGAGAGGGACCTTGAAGTCCTAGTGGAGGATCACTTGACTACGAGCCAGCAGTGTGCAGCAGCAGCCAAAAAAAGCTAATACAGTCCTTGGTTGTATAAACAGAGGCATAGAATCAAAATCATGTGAAGTATTAGTACCACTTTATAAAACTTTAGTAAGACCACACCTGGAATATTGCATCCAGTTTTGATCACCATGTTACAAAAAAGATGTTGAGACTTAGGAAAAAGTGCAGAGAAGAGCAACTAGGATCATTAAAGGACTGGAGACTAAAACATATGAAGAATGGTTGCAGAATTTGGGTTTGACTAGTTAGAGAAAAGAAGGAATAGGGGAGACATGATAGCAGTATTCCAGTATTTGAGGGGCTGCCACAAGGAAGAGAGGGTCAACTTATTCTCCAAAGCGCCTGAAGGTAGGACAAGAAACTATGGATGGAAACTAATCAAGGAGAGAAGCAACCTGGAATTAAGGCAAACCTTCCTAACACTGAGGACAATTAACCAGTGGCTTGCCTTCAGAGGTTGTATGTGCTTCATCACTGGAGATTTTTAAGAAGAGACTGGACAGCCACTTGTCTGAAATGGTATAGGGTCTCATGTTCGAGCAGGGGGTTAGACTGGAAGACCTCCAAGGTCCCTTCCAGCTACTACCCCTCTTAGATCCAAGGTCCATGATCAAATCACTTAAGAGGATAAATGAACCCCTTTTTTGACAGGAAGACAAGCAAACACACAAGAAGGCATACTACTCTTAGCCTGCTACAACCACCTGGAAGCTTTGCAGTAAACTAAGAGTTAAAATAAACCAATTTGTAAGTGTAAGTCTGTAAATGACATCATCAGGGGAGGGGAAAAACAAGGGAGGAGAAAAGGAATGTTTATACAATTATTTATATGATATTCATTTCACTTCTATCAGGATACTTTGAGCATGAAATGTAACAGAAAACCGATTATTATCAACATATTTTTGTTCTTCTGTTCTGAAACTGGTTTTATTTTTAACTCAGATTGGGTTCCTAAATTTCCTGCTGTGGCACTTGGAGGCAAGTATTTTTTTTCCTAAATTTGCATACTTTGAGAAAACAATTCCTATTAAACAGAATTAATATGCATGTAAGGTATGGAAGGTAGTTTTTTTCCTAACAAGATTAGCCAAAAGTATTCTATTAGAGTTATTTAAAAGTACCTCCTTACAGTAAATACACTTGATGGAGACATTTTGTTTGTTTGTTTCAATTTGTATAGTTGTCCATCTTGTATAAGTGACTTGCATGCTTGTTTGTTGCATTTTAGGCTTATTCATATTATTTTAATATTCAGGGGTGGATTAGTAAATACAGTATATAGATAATAGATATTTGCCTGCTGGGTCATTTGGCTAAGCATATTTGCTGCCTGGAGCTGAGGAACAGAAAGGAAAATAATGCAATTTCTGGCAAGAAACAGATGTCCTGTTCTGTGTTGTGCTGTATAAATATTATATTGGGGGAAAATGCTCCCTATTTGACAAGTATTTCAGCAGGAGGCTTCATTTCTTTCTTCCCACCAAAGCTCTGTAAAATACATCAAATTTCTTTTGTGTTTCCTTTTGCAGAAAAAGGCAAAAAATTATAATTCTGGCCTTTTCCAATTCTGGAAGGAGAGTGAATTTACCAGTTCAGGTATGTGATCACAACTTAATTTTGTAGCAAAGTCCAAAATCCTTGTCTTCATTGAAGATCTGAATTAAACCACCCTGTTTGACTATGGCACAATGCAGTTGTGTCCTCTTGTCAAATATTCTCCTTGATTCCATGGCTTGCCTTTATTTTAACCCTTTGAATGAAGCAGCCTTAGGTTATCATTACTCTATTGGTATAAAACCAATCCCCATTAAGTTGGAACCATCCCACCAGAACCTCAAGGCATTAAAATATTATAATAATAATAATAATAATAATAATAATAATAATAATAATAATAATAATAATAATAATAATAATAATAATAATAATAATAATAATAATAATAATAAAGAAGTTGGAAGGGACCTTGGAGGTCATCTAGTCCAACCCCCTGTTCAGGCAGGAAACCCTATACCATTTCGGACAAATGGCTGTCCAGTCTCTTCTTAAAAACTTCCAGTGTTGGAGCATTCACCGCTTCTGGTTAATTGTTCTAACTGTCAGGAAGTTTCTCCTTAGTTCTAGGTTGCTTCTCTTCTTGCTTAGTTTCCATCCGTTGCTTCTTGTCCTGCCCTCAGGTGCTTTGGAAAATAGCTTGACTCCTTCTTCTTTGTGGCAGCCCCTGAGATATTGGAACACATCCAGTCTCTTCTTAAAAAGTTCCAATGTTGGAGCATTCACAATTTCTGGAGGCAAGTTGTTCCACTGATTAATTGTTCTGTCAGGAAATTTCTCCTTAGTTCTAGGTTCTCTCTTTGATTATTTTCCATCCATTGCTTCTTGTCTTGCCTTCAGGTTCTTACATGGAATGTGGGAAAAATAGAGTTGGAAGGGACCTTGCAGATCTTGCAATCCAACCCCCTACTTGAGCAGGACACCCTATACCATTTCAGACAAATGTTGTCCAGTCTCTTTGAAAGCCTCCAGTATTGGAGCACCCACAACTTCTGAAGGCAAGCTATTCCATTGGTTGATTGGGAAGGAAGTAAGGGAAAGGGTTTTTTTCCCTGTTGTGGAAGAATATTATGGATGTTCCACGGAAACACATTTTTGCATTCTTCATGCAGGACTAGTCAAGTGACTAGTCAAGGACTTCTCCCACCTTTTTCACTTAAGTACTCCACAATAATTTTGTTTTATTTCTATTTAAATGTGTAGGCCACAAAAATTACACTCCTTGACAAATCTGGTAAGTATGTTATTGGGAAGACCAATAAATAGCCCCAGCCCTGCTCGTGAACATTTGAGAAGGGGATTTGTTTATGAAACCAACAATAGATAGTGCTCAACTTACAACTGTTTAGTGACCATTCAAAGTTACAGAGGCTCTGAAAAAAGTGACTTATGACCATTTTTCATGTTTACAACCATTGCAGCATCCTCATGGTCACCTGATCAAAATTCAGTTGCTTGGCAACTGACAGTTGAGGTCATGTAATCCCCTTTTGTGACTTTCTGACAAGCAAAGTGAATGGAGAAGCCAGATTCACTTAACAACCTTAACATCTTAACAACTGCAGTGATTCACTCAACAACTGTAGCAAGAAAGGTCATAAAATTGGGCAAAATTCAGTTAACAATTCTCTCACTTAGCAACATAACTTTTGGATTGAGTTGTGGTCGTAAGTTGAGGACTACTTCTACTCTAAAATTGTAGTTGCAGGAGCTTCCAGACCAAAAGAGGTTTTTGGCAACAACAGAACAGGTTTATCTTCAAGGTGCTACAAAAGCGTTATTTATTTCAAAAGTTCTGTGCTTCCCCTAACATGGAGGGAGACAAAATAATAATAATAATAATTGAAAAAATGCATGTCCCTTCAGGTTTTCTGAATTCGTGTATTAAATAGACTATTTCTCTTCCTCACTGCCATGTTCTGTAAAACCTGGCTAAAACTCATGCTGGATATTCTCCATCATTTGGGGGGGAATGGGAGTGTGAGGTGGGTTAAGAAGGAAGATGTTGCTAGTCTCAAGGCAGAATTTCTCAACCTCGGCAATTTTAAGATTAGTGGACTTCAACTCGTAGGATTCCACACATCTTAAAGTTACCAAATTTGAGAAACACTTTAAAATGTGTAAACTTTCAACCTTAAGATGTGTAGACTTTCACTGGGAGTTGAAGTCCACACATCTTAAAGTTGCCAAGTTTTTGAGAGACACTGATTTAAACTGTTTTCTTTTCCCCATTTACATTAAAAGACTTGTGCCTTTTTAAAATGAAAATGAAAATAACTTAGGACAGTCCATAAATAAGGAAGAGCAGGTTGGCTTGAGAAGTTCTGAGACTTGAAGTCTTCACATCTTAAAATAAATTAATTAATTAATTAATTAATTAATTAATTAATTAATTAATTAATTAATTAATTAATTTAATTTTTACCCCTCTATTATTGTTTTTTTATATAAATAACTCAGGGTGATAAATATACATACTTCTCCTTCCTCTTCCTATTTTTGCTGAGGTTGCAAAACACTGGTCTAAGGAACTGGCTGAGTTCCATATTAGAGAAATTGTGCAGTGTGGAACTGTAGATATGAAATACCTGTACTCACAATAGATACAGGATTTCAATATTTATGTTTAGAAAGAATGCAAGATCTTGCATATCTTAAACCTCACATGAATGAAACAGTAAATGGGAACAGATGGACCAATATCCAATTGACATGCCCTATAAATAAAATTGCCCTTCAGCCAGTATAAACAATAGTTTCAGGGTGGGGATATATCCACATACACACACACACACACACACACACACACAGAGAGAGAGAGAGAGAGAGAGAGAGAGAGAGAGAGATCTGAGACACAATTCAACTCTGAGCATCTCCCTATGTCTGATTAATTCCACTTTAAGAAATGGCATCCTGCTTTAGCCTATCAAATCAATTTAACTGCTCTGACCATTGAAATAAATATTACTTAATAATGGTACTATAACAGGTCTAATGCAGGTAGTCCTCAACTTACAAACCATTCGTTTTGTACTTGGCAACTAGTTCATATTTATGACGGTTGCATAGTGTCCCAGGGTTATGTGATCACCTTTTGTGACTTCTGACAAGCAAAATCAATGGGGAAGCCAAATTCTCTTAGTAACAACCACGTTACTAACTTAATGATTGCAGTGATTCACTTAACATCTGTGGCAAGAAAGTTCATGAAGTGGAGTAAAAATAACTGTCTTGCTTAGCAACAGAAATTTGGGGACCAGTTGTGATCGTAAGTCAAGGACTACCTGTAAAGCAATATTTAAATCAGTGAAACCAGTGAATATATATAACCAGTGAATTAATCTCAGCTTCAGGAGGTGCCTGGTCCTTTCTGCTGAATGCAATACATTTATCAAATTTGAAAATCTGGTCCTTGGAAAGTCCCCAAAGGAAGTATAGCAGGGTGTAGACCAATTCACACATACTTTCTGCCCTGAATACTGAGGAAAATTAAAAGCAAATGTGATCTCTGCAATGGTAAAGCCCCAGGAGGATTTTTTGTTGGGTTTAAACAAACACAGCCCATTGTGTAGAAATGTCACAGCATTCCCAGAGTGCTTCCCCTGTAAATCTCAGTGTGCACTTATGCCTGTCATGGTTCTGATAGACAGGGACAAACAAAGCAGAACTCTGAGGCTTGTAATTTCCTCAAATAACATTTTTATTAGTTACAAAGTATTGGCACATCAAAAGTGAAACCATGTCTGAAGTTCCCCTCAGAAGCAATAATATTACAATGTTGAACTCCCCATCCCAAAGCTATGCAATCAGCTACATTCCCCAATAGAAGACTTTTGCAGGCTTTCTAACTAAAAGCTCCAACCCCTACCTAACTGACAGAAATGCCCTTGGTTCCCACGGGACAGTGAAATGTTTTGACTAGTAGAAATCCTCCATTCCCCACCCCTCCCAATCCTGTGGCAACTTAGAACAAAAGAAATGGCTGCAGCCAGGTTCGTTGTAGAGTTGACAATGCCGTTGGGCAAGTAGGAATAGCCATGCAAACTTCAATAAGCAAACTTGCACAAAGCGTGTTCATCTACTCACTTGTCTTCTCCCACACTTGCAGTGTTGATCTGATTTCTGAGGTATGTATTTGCAATCACATATGAATGTTTAGCTGTAGGTGGTGGTGGTGGTTAGAGATCAACAAATTATGTTATCAACCTAAAATTATTAAGGAATGGAGTGCAGTTTTATAGGGAAAGACTGCAATGTTTTGTATTTTTTAGTTTAGCAGGAAAAAAATGGGTGGTACAAGAGACCATATAAAACCTAGTGTAGAACATCTAGCTAGAATTATTATTATTATTATTATTTGTCTCTCACAGTATTTAAACACATTGAAACTAACCGGGATTTGAATTGGGGAAATGCTCAACCCATAAAAGGAGCTTTGTGCTGTGAAAGCTAACAGATGTATAATGGCTGTATATAGTCTTCAGATTCAGATGGAGCCTGCCTAGAAGAGTGTTGAGCACTCAATTTTTCTCCCTCCCTCCTTCCCTTTCTCTTCTCCACTCCCCTTTTTTGCCTTCAAGTTTCCTGAATGAATTTGGATGGCCACTCTATGATACAGAATCTTAGACTAGATTTCCCCTGCAGGGTTCCTGTATCTTCTTATTTAATAAGAAAGGAGATGACAACCTGATGCTTATAGTCACATACAGGTAGTCCTCAACTTACAACAGTTTGTTTAGTGATCATATGAAGTTACAACAGGACTAAAAATGTGACTTATGACCATTTTTCACAGGACCATTGCAGCATCCCCATGGTTGCATTTATGACAATTGCAGTGTCCCCATGGTCATGTGATCACCTTTTGCGACCTTCTGACAAGCAAAGTCAATGGGGTTGTACAATGGGGCAAAACTCACTTAACAACTGTCTCACTTAGCAACAGAAATGTTGGGCTCAATTTGATCATAAGTCAAGAACTACCTGTATATCTATTAATTCAATCTATGATGGCACTATGATGATTTATACATCTTCAGTAG